GTGTAGGCGTGGAGTATGTGGTTGGGGTGGGGGGTGTGGCAGGGTGTAGTTGTGTTTGGGGGTATGGTGGGGGGTGGATTCTGTGAGAGGGTGTGGGTGTGTGTGGGGTTATGGTGGGGGGATGGGAGTGTGGTGGGGCTGTGGGAGAGTGTGGGTATGTGTTGGGGGTGGGTGTGCATGTGTGTGGGCTGGGTATGTCAGGGGAGTCCTCAGAGTGTGTGAATCCCTGGAGCTGCATGTGGTGGTGGTGGTGGTGGTGGTGGTGAGTAGGGTGAGCCTCAACTGGCCCCATCGTTTGCATCTCCCTGCACTCCCACCCTAGACCCGGCCACAGATGGTGACAACGTGCAAGGTCAGCCCCAACTAGCCCATTAGTGCCCTCACTGAAGTTCCCGGCTGCACATGGTGGCAGGGTGCAGGACCAGCCCCACAGCATGCAGCTTGTGCACTCCTGCAGTGTACAGTGCCAGCCCAGCCTGCCCCATACGGCATGGTGGCCTGTGCTCCTGCCCCCTTTCCCCCAACAGGAGTCCCTGGCCCCCAGCCCAGTGGGGCCCTTACCTAAATTCCCACTCTCAAGGCAGGGAGGACTAGAAACAGCCTCAGGGTAGCCAGGCACAAGCTCTGCCAGGCAGAGGCGTCTTATCTCTGGTGCGCCCTAGCTTGAGGATGGGATAGGTCAGGTCAGGCAGGGGGGAAGCAATTGCTTAGCAGCCAGAGCGGTACTTCCTACCTGGAAGCACCAACTTGCAGAAGAGCAGTGAGAGCCAAAGTTTACAGAGGGTTTATGGAGGGTCCCCACAGGCTGGATGGAATTGCCTGGCAGGCCACATCTGACCTGCAGGCCACATGTTGCCTGCCCCTGCTTTAAACCCTATGAACCTTTTACACCATGGGTGTCAAAATCATCCATGAACTGGATGAAAGGTGGGACTGGTCCACTGGCTGGATCAGGCCCACAGAGCTCCCTGCCCTGCTACTGAACAGCACAGGTAGCAGCCAGCCAAGTTGTTTCAGGATGCTGGCCTGAACAGTCACCACAGGCAGTGTAGGCCAGGACCAGCCCTGGCAAACTCTGCAGGAGTTACACATCTCAGGCACTGTGTGTGGGGATGGTCCAGCACAGCAAATGGGGATGCACCAGGGGCCAGATTATGAGGCTCTGCAGGCTGGATCCAGCCTGTGGGCCGTATGTTTGACATCCCTGTTTTACATGACAAAAATAGGCATCCATTTCATAATGTGTAGAAGAGGGGAAAAATGCAAAGCAAAAATAAATCCCTTACTTCTCCTCACCCCCATCCTCTAATAAAGGAAAAATAGAGGCTTTCAAATCAGAGTGTTCTCTTTATCTTTAGATCAGTAGATGGAGCTTTCCATTGGACAGACGGCTATCAATCTATTCAAGCCCATGAGATCCTCCAACAGGGTCTGCATGTCACTGGCAGACAAATCACAGAGGTATGGTGTATATTTATTGGTTATATTAAGTTTAACCCTCCTATCATTACAAAAGACACCTAGCAAATGGACCCACTTACCAGTGATTTGAGGCTTCTCAATTCTTGTTTCTTCCCGCTACAGAGTTCTTAGACTGAGTCTAGCATTCAGAGCTGTGATCAAATTCTCTTTAATAGGCACTTAAACTTAATGCTAAATTGATGCCTGTGAAAAGGACTGATTACATTTGCAAATGGCACTCACTTTATCCAAATCAGAACTAGGACCTTATCTTTTAAGCTTAAACCTAGAAGCTTTTTTCTCTTGGAGTTGCAAAGTACCACAAATGTTCATCTGCAAAAAGTTCACTTTGCAGAATCACTGAACAACAATAATAGTAGACTGTAATAAGGAAAACATCTGTGCAGCGTCTCAATACTGGGAAAGGAATTTAAACCTTCAGATCCTAAATGAGCAAGATTTTTCTCACTCCTCTATGCTCGTGGGAGTTGCCTAGGATTCTGAGGTCCCAGATCTTTTGACTTTAAATAGTACTCTAGTAAGGTTATAAAAAAATGTTTCCTAAGATTCTTTAATTAAATTTCTTGGATAAAAGGAGAAACTGTGTAAGGTTAGCAAGAGAGAAAAAATGCCTATAATTACATTCAAGAAAGTACTACAAAAACTCTACACACTACACGTGTCAGAGGTTTAACCAAACTCCCTTTCCAGCTTATTTATCTGCTCATGCTTTTTTGTTCTTCCTGTCTCTAAAAGTACACATAATCACAAATCCTCTGCCTCTCAATGAGTTTACATGACAACAGAAGTTTAAAGAACTGGAAGACACAAATTCTTTGGATCCTACTGTGGGAAAGGTTTCTTTTGATTTGGTTTTCTGTTCACTATCAAATTCAAAACTTTCTGCTTTCAAAGAAAAACTCAGGAATCATCAAAATGTGCAAGACTGGAAAAAAATCATTTTTGTGTACTTCCAAGGAACAACAAAATATTCAATTTAGACTCCTGATAATAACCTGCACTTGCATGAACTAATCTATGTTTTCCAAGAATGTTACCTGTTCTGATCTAACTGAATTAATTTAAAAGAACAAACTATAGTATCTGAGCTTGTAATATACCTAATGACTGTATAGCATGAGTTAAAAGATGCAAACCTTACAAAACAATGTAAAACTAGTGGAGGAAAGGTCACATTTTGTCAAATGCTGTCAGATATATAGCATTTTATCAAAACATTTCTCATTGAACTGCAGAACTAGTCTGCTCTTACTATTTCCTTTCTTCTCACAGAGCAGAGGCATATTCTAAATTTCTATTCTTGAGTTCCTAAAACTAATTTAATTCTGGTGATGTGACAACCCCATATAATATATGAACGAAGCACCTCATTCTTAACAAAAAAGATCTCAGTAAGTGTGCAGTCCATGGATGAATTGCAATTCATTTTTGTTCATGTAAAAGCTGACAAAGTCATACTTCTGTTAACACAATGCTAGTATCTCAGTCACCAGTTATGATCACCATTATCAGCATTTATACACTTCAAATTCTCAGAGAAGACCTGGACTCAATTAAGTATTTTTTTTTCTGTTAGGATCCTTGATCTCAAAGTAAATCAATGAGATGTATGTTTTCCAAGTGCCTAAATCACTTCTGAAAATGGGTTTGTTACTAAGGGCATCTTTACGTGTGCTCCAGGGACGGGGGGAAGCATGTTTTAATTAGAGCAGCTCCAAGAGCTGTTGTGCTTAGCCTTTGCAAATCCTAAGGGTGCCTGTAGACACGTGGGGATGCTGCCATTACTTGAATCTGCTAGAGCGTGAAAATTAGCAAAGTCTAGCAGCTTCCGTCTCATGTATTAACATTCCCGTGCTTCAAAATGGCACTGCGGGCTCAGAGCCGCTCTAATTAAAGCATCCTCAGTGTTTCGTGCATTCAGCATCCTGCACTTCAAAATGGTGGTGGGAGCACCTTAACTAAATCTTGGTCAACAAGCTTTAATTAAAGCACCCACAGTGCCATTTTGAAGCACAGGGACGCTGAATACACGAGGCATAGATGCTGCTGGACTGTGCTAGTTAGTATGCTGTAGCAGACTCAAGTAATTATAGCACATCAGAGCAGCATCCCCAAATGTCTACAGGCACCCTTAGGATTTGCAAATGCTAAGCACAACAGTGCCAGATAGCCTTAAATATCAGACTTTGGTGCCTCAGCTCAGTATTACAGAAACTGGAATAACAACACTTCTCTGCTACCTCTGAGTAGGTTTGGATATGATAAACACATTTGAAAAAAACAAAGCACTCGCAGAGCACAATAAAGGGGGTATATAAAAAAGCTGTTAATGATTTGAATCTTTGCTGTCGAACCACAGACACATTTGAGCTATTTCCCATGTTCCCAAAGAAATACAAAGAATAATCTGTGCATAATATGTTTGTCCACAAGCATTACTTTAAAACTACAGCAGAAAAAAGAAAATATCACACAAGTTTGCACTTCTATATATGTTTATTAAGAAAGAATTTAAAAGAGATAAAAAATGAATGAAAAGTGGGAAAACAGGGTAAGCAAACAAAATGGTCACAAGCACAAAAACAAATTGAAAAAGTCCCAAAATATCCCACAAATGTAGGAACTAACTTGCTGTTCCCATTACCCAGACAGTGGGAAACTGTCTTTTAGGACAAGTGAATCCTGAATTACAAAGATGAGCACTGGATGTCATTTATGTATCTTATTTTCTTTTATAAGCCAACCCAGAATGTTACAAGCCTGTGTTTTCCAGGAAGCCAAGGAGCTTGCTCTATTTTATATAGAAAAAATAGGGAAACATAAAAATCAGAGCTTCTCAGTCTTCAGCGAAGTATTCATCCAGTCCCTCCAGTTCTGTATCTGCTTCATTGTTTGAAGTAGTAGTAGCTGAACTTGAATTTGTACTTTCCTGACTAGTGGGTTTTAGTTGAGAGCTTCCTGGATGACTCATTTCTTTCTTCAGTTCTCTACCACCACTTAACAGCTTCTGACTCTCCACAAAATACTGATTTGGATGATTCAAAGGGAACCCAATATCATCAACCTGAACGTGGAAAGAAAGAAACAAAGACATATAATACTGTATTTCAAAGGTCTTTAGTTCCATGCTAAATTATCACAATATGTAGTCTATCAGTGATTTAACTCATTTATCTCTTGTTGAAGAAAATGAAGACTTCCATTTGCAGATGCTAGCCTGATTCAAGACAATCATGTCATAGATTTATTCCCAACACACACATCCTTCTTCTATGTGCATGAATAAAATGGTATTATTGTATCATGGCAGAAATACAAATGAAAGTTAACTAAAACATGTGAAAGAGGGTATTAATGGAAACATATTTTATTATAAATCCACTAATTTACATAGCTCCTCCAATATGCTTCACATCAGCATTTCCTTATCTGGAGGACAGTGTTGAGACTAGTCCACTGTATATAGGGTTGAAGAGAACAGCAGCCACAAACAGAAGTTCAAGGAGTCAAGCTCATCTCCTTTCTGCTCAATGAATGCACCTGGAGCTGTAAGGGTGTGTGACCCAGTTCCCTAGAACTGTACTGAAAGCCCTTATCTCCATAAAGAGGCTTGTAAGCCTTCAGCTTATTAGGGAAAAAGGAAGAGAAACCACCATAATATGCGCTCTGTTTCATTTTTTAATTGCTTTCATGCTGAGCCCACATCATCTGTCAAATGATCATGGACTTTTGTTTGCAATTAAATCCTGTTAGTTAATTCTCTGACTGTTCAGCATGATTTGAAAAACAGTTTAAAAGCATCTCTCTGTTTATGGGCCATTAAATCTTAAGAGCAAGTTATTCAGACATTTATTCCACACTTCATTCAGATACTCTAAAGCACTCTTCATATGACTGCAAATATTTACAAATATCTACAAACAAGCAAGAAAGATTTCTGACAAACTCTTGTCTATAGTCATAGCATCTACTCTTGTTCATTAGCCCCTTTCAAGCCCCAGAAAAAGGATGGAAGAGTAGACAGCTCTTGCATGTTATTCTAAAGGTCACTACATGTAGGATCCGGTGGCCAAAGTGGGATAGCATGTTTTAAAGATAGTCCAAAAATCAAAGCCATTCCTCTGAAATGCTTTGCATCGAACAAACTCCCTTTGTAGTCTAGAGTAACGCTGTATGAGGACAGGGGCAAATCATTCAGGACTTACTAAGACAAAACCTAACGCTTCATCCATACACCGAGTTTTATTTCTGTACAGATCAAAGAGCACTGATATAATGTGCCTTCTTCATGAAACCCTGATAGGGATAGGGTTAATTTGTTCTAACTCCAGTGTTTACAGCATTTAAATTTGGAATATACTGTATAATTAACCTGAGGGTGAAAAGTTATGGATAACTGCTGTGAGCTCCTACTCCAGAAACAAAAGGTTACAAACCTCATACCAGGAACATACAATAAACAAGCTATTTTGGTTTCCTCCAAGGCCTCATCCTCAGCATTCTGAAATAAATGGGGCTCCAAAATGACCATCAGGCTGAAAATCTTGGAAAGAGGACCTGACATAACCATCTAACATGAAATGCTGATAAATCTCTGCTATTATCTTCTGACTTGTTTTCACTGTTATTTTAAGTTTCACTTGAGTCTTAACTACCTCAATCTGGGTCTGCTATTACCCATGCTTATATTTTCCATGAATGGAAGTTATTTTCCTACACAATCCAGTCTGAAGAAGAGACCCAATGAAAGCCTTTAAATCCAAATCTTTTCACTAACTCTACTGTACCCTCTGGATAACACTGCAAGCAACATTTTTTAATTCCTTTGTCTGTTTTTTAAAAATTAAAAAAAAGATATTGAAGTATTAGTTTGTATCAAAATGAAACACTGAAATTATATAGGTTGAGATTTTCAAAGATGATTAGGGAGTTTACCATACAGTTCCACTGATATTCAACTGAATGTCAGCTTAACTTTGAAAATTTCAAAGATAGCCTCCACACATGACCTTTTCTATTTTAAAAGTTACAGCCACTATTATAAAACTCCATGGGCTATAACTTGAACATTTCCATTATAAAGGATTTCTGCATGTTTACTTTATTAGATTCTTCTTTCAGGGTGAACAAGGGCTGGAATGGTATACTGTCAACTGATCAGTTATGGCACTTCAAGAAAAAATAAAATGACCCAGTTATTTCAGTTTTAAGACTCAGTGCATCCACTTGGTGTATTTTACAATAACTACATTTCCGCATGGATTTTGCTGCATAAAATTTTACTGCATCTGGCAAGAACAATAACCCTAGACGTTAAAGGCTTGCAAACAAAAGAAAGGAATGCATATTAATATATGCTTTTTTAACTTTTTGATTTTAACTCAGACATTTGATTTTAACTGTCACATTGCTCTAAAAATAATGTTGTCTAATGCTTTGTAGGTAAGGTAGCCATATGCCAATGTTAATAGTGACATTGATCATTCTTTCTTGAAGATTCTTCATGTCATCAAAAGTTAATCAGCAAGAAATATCAGACAAGCTAAATTTCTTGAGCAAGTTTATCTGTTTCATGTCACCACAAACTGTTTCATGACATATTGTAACTAATTTGGCCTGCATAGAGAAATAAAACTTTATTTCATGTACAGTAAAAAAAAAAAAAAAAGCTCTTAAACTCTATTGATCCAGAGTGAAGGGCATGTCACTTCAAACAGTTTTGTTTATTGCATCTAATAGATGATGATATCTCAAGCCTTTTCTTGGATGCAACACATTTTACACACATTGACCTTCACACACACACACTGGTCTCATATTTCTGCTGTAGCAAGTGTGGTTTTTAAAGGAATTGAGGCAATAGTGTTATAGCCATGGGATCTTTGAGGTTTTAAATCAAGAAGATTTCAATGACAGCTGATAATGAGGCAGCTGGTATTACAAAAATGCCATATGGAGCAATCATAGTGGTTAAGCAAATGATATTCAATAGTATCAATTAGCTATGGTTCATTTTCAAAAACTTTCATTTTGATCACAAAGGACAATGAAAAGCAAATCTACTTTTCCTGTTCCTATTAATAAGTATCAGAATATATACATTTATTTTCAGAACAGAGAAGGAAAAAAGGGATAGCTAAACAAAATTAGAAAAACAATGAAAAAGTGGTAAAATATCAGCATTTGCCAAGTCGTCATAAAGTAGACAGTAATTCCTGTAATTATAAGAGAAAATATTGGTTCTTGCATTTTAATGATAACTATTATAACTATTTACATCTGAAGCATTATCTATTAGAAAGGTTACTAAAAATTCTAGTCACATACATTGTATTTATATTTTTTTCAATATTTGATTTAAAAGGAACAGGCAAAGCTAGTAAAACATCCAGAGCTACTCAGGAATAATGAGTTTTAAAAAGGACACAATAATTTAGAAATAGTGAGCTCTTACATTACTGGCAGAAGCAATATTCATAAAATAAATTATATTCACATATGTAGTTCAGTAACAATTAAAGATTGCTTACTTCATTTCTCTATACACACTTAAAGGACTGGGAGATTAAATATGTGCTTAAATATATAAAAACATGAAGCTGATTTTTTTTGTTTAAAACCAATTTCAAAGCAACATTTTTATATAAATATGAAAAGCTGCCTGTAAATTTATCAATAATTCATGGTTGGTAACAGCATAGATTTTTGTTAATTTACTTGCCCATGTGTAGCTAATATGTGCAATTTATCTACCAAAGTAATATGGTTTTCTACATTTTTGAGCTATTGTCTGATTCCCTAATATAAAGTGAAATCTTCTGCAAGACAGCAGCCTGCATGCTCACTAGAGGCTTGTAACAAAATTTGACTGCAGAATTTTCTCAACATCCTGTCTGCATTGGGTATATTCCATTCCACATAGTGGCTGAGTAGTATTTTTCCAGCAACTTTTTTTTCTGTTGCAGTACTGGTCCCTGGGAACTGGAAGTAACAAAACTATCTTATCCCTACTCTTAATAGTCCCACTGTTGTTGTCCAAAGAGCATAGAGGAGCTAGTGGAAACTAAGCTTTACTGCTCTAAACTCCTCCTTACATGCTTAGTCTGAGATAGTCAGCAAAGTAGTTAGTTGTGCTAGTCTCAAGTTAGAGAAAAGACAGGGCAGAATGGCACAGTCTTTCTTGCCATGCTGCCCCGTCTTCTGTCTGAAGTACCTCAGTTCTCTTTGCTCCAAAACTATTCAGTCCTTTTAGGACCCATTCCTCTAACAAGCTTAATTCTGCAGTGTATATGTCGTTGCTCAAATTAACTACAACTCTCCAGATGCTGAGAGAAACTTGACTCTTAAGTTTCCTAAATAGCACTTCCACTTGTTTTGGGCAATGCTTCCCCAGGCTTTTTGCTCCAAAGTAGAATTAAATTAAGAGGAAATAAGATATGAACTGACTCACTGAGCAAAATTGGTAGGGTGGGCATTTATGAGCATTAAATTGCAAAACATTGTCCTTAAAGTAAGAGGATATATATAAATTGGTGTAACTATTGTAGGCTTACACCACCAGAAGGATCCTAAATTGTAGAAGTAACATCCACCATAAACAGCAAAGCACAGAAGTTTTTATCCAGTGGTACTGGGAACATAATCTTGGAGATTTGGAATACATTCACTTGAAGTTTCATGTCTTATCTTTTTTACTGAACAGTGCTGTCAACTCTGGGGCTTAGTAGCAGGGTGGTTAAGACATCTCACTACAGCTCCAGAGGCATGAGTTCATGCCCTGCGGTGCAATCACACCAAAGGGGTGGATTTGATGCAGCTAACCATGCAGCTGGGAGGAGCCAAAGTAGCCAGACATAATGCTAGATGCATCACTCCCACGTGTGCTGCTTGCTACAGAAACTGGTGCATCTTAAATCACCTCAGTCCAATGGGCAAACAGTTTTGAAAGGTTCTCTAACCTTGACCTTATTGTTGATTCCTGCGATTTTATCTCAAGTTTCACAATATGAAACTTGAGAAAGTTTGGCTGAGGGGTCGCACTCAGAGGGTAGTGGTGGATGGGTC